TTAAAAATGAAATTCTCTGAATGGAAGTCTGTAATGAACAATGCTAGTTAGGCGGTGGAACAAGTCTGAGTTTATGATCATGCTATTTGGTTTGCTTGCTATTGCAGATTTCACTTGCTTTTTCTTCCATATGCTTTTCACTTCTACTTTTTACTGACAGTGTTATAGCGCTATTTTGATTGCTGCCTGTTGATCATTTTAAGTGGCTTAATTCCTAGATTAATATGCTTCTACTGCATCGCCTTGTTAGATATTAGCAAGAGCAACAACAAAAAATTAGTGACCATAGATGGGCAGAGGCCACAGATGATAGATGTTTTGGAACTTTCATCCGTTTCACTCTTTCCAGGGGCTTTGGTATTATAGAATATTTGTCCCTAACTACTTAGCATGACTGACAGTTTAAGCCCTTGCTCTATTGAATATACTTTTTCTTAGGGGGAAAAACTATCATGTAGCATGGAGGGACATGATTTTCAAAAGTGATTAATTATTTTGGGTATCCAATCTGAGATTCCTTTAAGAGGCCTGGTTTTCGAAGAGTTGGTGCTTAGTACTTGCTAAAAATCAGGCCTCTTAAGGTCTCATATTGGATAGCCCAAAATAGAAGCATCCAAAATGACGAGTCACTTTTCAATATCTTGGCTTATATGTCTGTGAATCCTGTAATAAAGCCTAACAGTTCAGCATTTATCAAATGTATTAGTAGCGAAGTTGAGGTATTTGGGGGGAGAGGGGGAGTGCTGTGTTATCACATATTACAGGACATTGCTATTAAATCGTCTGACAACAGTTATGCTTATGGACCTGAAGTCTGACCTGCAATGCTCTCATGCCAAACTTTTCCCAGCTCTACAAAGTGTTTAAGTGTATGGCGATGCCTAGGACTACACTTAGGCAAGTACAGCAAATATTCACAAATAATTATTCCAATAAATCTATGTATTTGGCCCTACAGCATTTTTCATTCCTTTTACTAAATTTCTGCAAACATTCACACAAGCAAGTGGTGTGAAGACTTGTGCAACTACGTTAACATCATAAGTGTTTATGCAGCTGTATTGAAATCTCTGTGTGTCTGGGAGTCATATATGCAGGAATAATTCTCAGCAGAGCATACTCACAAGAAGAGTCACAGTGACTAGTTCTTGAACAATCCATGCAAAACCAAAGCTGCTGAAAATCCATAAATAACTTTGTAGAAAGAATAAACATGTAGAAGCTAATGTCTGTTTGCTGAATTTGCAAACAGAAAAAGGAGCTAAATTCACTGAGTACTGTGTGCAGCACTGTTCACCACACTCAACTTGAAACAGGCTTAAGAGAGAGTTCTCTGGAAGAAAACAATTCACAGGTTGTGTGTGTCAACCTCTACAAAATGGGGGAAGGGAGGGAAGCACCTTGTGCATTAGATCATTTTTATCACAATATGGAAAGATTTTAGTATGCAGTCATGGAACATAATTACTGCACTGTAAATGCTTGTGACCCTCTCAAATTCACCTGCTAAACTTTACCAGAGGCATCTCAAATTCTGAATTTTTGATTTTCCAAGCATTCCTAACACCATATGCCTCTTTAAAAACATTTTTGTTTCAAAGAAAGCCAGAATTCCTTTGGTAAAATGTTTAAATTATTAAGAATAATCTTTTCACTGGTTTTTAAGGCATAAAAAAGCAAAATGTTACTTTTCCCCAGTATTATTTATTCGTGTAACCACTTAACTATTTTCATACTGTTTTGTAGAATATGAGCTTATCATTGTACTTACAATGATGTTAGCTATTGCTTATATTTAGGTTTGATGGAATTCAATTTTCCTTTTTTAAAATGTTGACAGTTATTGATTTTTGTAAGCATTTTTTGCAGAGATTTAAATTTTCACAGTTGTGGAAAATTATGGGGGTGGGGTCAAACAATTATTTAAGGACAGTGAACACTGAGATTCAAAGACTTAAAGGTTAGCTGTTGAAACAAATTTTTTCAACATTTTGCATGTCAAAATAGGCAAAGTAAATATCCTTAAATCAAACTAATAATTCTCAAGAAGTATTTTCTTTCTTTGTCTATCTGTAGATTGATGATTATTGTTAGAAATATTTTTCACTGGTTTGTGTGTGTATGGTGAAATTGACATTTACCGACAGTTACCAATAAAAATCGAATCCTTCCATGCCTCTTTATATTGGGGGAAATCAAAACTACACGTTTATTTCGTTTACATAAGTACAGGTTATAAGTGCGTGTGTGTGTATTTTACAATTTTTTTCAGCTTAGGGTGTGGAGTAATTCTTAGATAAACAGTAAAGTGGTAGATGCTATCCTGTTCCTGACTGAGTGGGGAACAGAGAAGGAAAAGGGAATGTTTCTAGCTTCATAATTGAACACAACTGCAGTCTCGTTACTCCTCTAAGTGCAAAACAATACCCAGGTACTGTTGTGATAGTACCAGAAGGTGGAGGCAAGGCCAAGGCGCTCTCCCCCCTTAATACACTGGCCAGCTGTCGAGGAGAGTTCACTTGGCAGCCTTTCAACAGTTGGCGCAATAGTTGTACTCCTTCTGTTTGTCCTCCTCACATCACAAATCTTCATTCAGCTCCACATCACCTCCAACACATGGTTGTGCATGCAAGACACAACCCAGCTCTAAGCATTTAACATAAAATTCTACAGTCATATGAAGGGTTTTCCAACTCCATGCTGAAGTCTGTCCTGGCATAGCCCACTGGGCCTGCCCCAAGGCACCACAGCTTTTGACAATAGTCTGAAAAAAGGTGATTTGAACAACAAACTGCTTGTTGGTACAGATGTCTCTGTATAAGGAACTGGGCTCTAGTAGGAGCCATTTTCCTCAATATGAACTTAATGTATTGACAGTGAATGTTTGCACGACTTCATTGCAAAAATGTAGAACTTTTATCAGTTTTCTTCTTGTTAGTCTCATTGGGTGCTGTGCTTTGGGCATGGTGTGAGTTTTATGAAATAGACAACCATTGCAATTGCAGGAACCTCATGCCCTTTACAATAGTCAAGCTTTAAAACTATTCAACAAAGGCCAGCTTGTTTTAAGATTCTTCCCTGCCTCACTCAGCTCCATGAGAGGAACATGGAAGAGAAGATTTTTGGGGAGTTTGGCCTTTTCAGACAGGCAGCAGTATTCTCATGGTAGCTTTTGTGGACTTTATATATTTTGCAGGGACTGGAAGAAAAATACATGATTAAAAAAATTCGGGATAAATAGTAAGATGTTCTTTACATACAGAAACAAAGAACCAGACAAGGAGTCCATGGAGTCATTAAGAGATCTGTTTTGAAAGTTGATAACAGATGTGGATGATATCGCTTAGAGCCTAAATTAATTCTTTACTTTATTATTCATGAAAATAGGTCATATGTTAGAGTTGGGATAAGTTTTCTTTTGGGAGAGGTATAAAATGATTGAAAGAATTTTCATTGCTATCCAGGGCAGATAGTTAAGCAGTTTGAAAAGTTAGAACTGGTGAGACAGAAGGCTCAGACACATTTGTACAAATGCCCCAAATGAAGAATATAGTAAAACCTAGCCCTGTAGAAAATTGCAAATGGTTTGTAAATACCTTCATATTCACACATGAGATTTGCTATAATTTTGGCCTTAATAATCCTAAAGATTTTTAGGGCTTATAAATGACACGGGACAAAATCAGACGCTGTTTCTGTGTGGCCTAAAAGTTACTTGGCATATAAACCTGAGATGTTGCCCCATGTGAAAAGAATAGTGGACCAATGTAAAGCTGTGTGAATAATGGATTTTCCAGTTTGCTGGAAATGGTAAATAAATAATGGTATAATAATAATGGTAAATAAAAGGTTGAACAAAATGTTAAGTTTGACCTGAAATGGAACATTTTGTTTCAATTATCATTTAAAAATGTTTTTGACTTTAAAATTGAAGGACACTTTGAAACAAAAATGTGTAATAGAAAAATGTAAATGATTCATTTTGAAAGTGTCAAAATGAAATATTTTGACTTTTTTTGTTTAACATGAACAGTATGGTAAAACCAACATACCTTCACATTTCAGTGTTGTCAAAAAAAATTCTGCATTTTTGGCCAGAGCAAGTTTTTTGTCCAAAAAATGTTGCCCACTATTAGGCCAAATGAATTACATCCTGCCATTCTCCTGGAGGTAGCAATGGAAACAGGAAAGCAATTGGTATGGATTACTCAAAAGCATGAGGCTACAGAGGGCTGGACAAGGAAGGAAATATTGCAGAACAAGAAAGGTGGCCAGTGTCTCTCTTAACTTGGGAAAGTAATTGTTTATACAATTGATGATGCACAGAAAGCAGAAATAGTATGCATAATTTAGATTTCCAAAAAGTATTTGAAACAGAAACATGAAAATTATTAATGTATGCAGTCTGTATGGTACAGTGAGAAACCTGAAATGAATTCAGTTCTTCAAGGTGGGAGGTGTAGGTTTTGTAACAAGTACAAATTTAGAATAGAATTAGGGCTTGTCTACACACGGGTTTTAAACCGCATCAAGTTGAGTTGATTTGGTTTAAAAAGGCTTGCAAACACATGACACAACCTGTCACTGCACATTAACTCTGTATTTATTGAGAACTCTGGAGTCCTCTTGCAAAGTGGACTAGGTTTGCTTCTAATTAAATTAATTCAGTCTTTTCTTTGTGTTCACGCAATTGCTGCGCACCACTTTTTGCATGCTTCCAATGGCTATCCCACTGTGCATTGCAGTTCAACCATTACTGACCTACCCGTTTACTTGTGTTCCTGCTCTGTCCTGCTGTCAAATTTCCAGGATGACCCTTCGGCCCTTTAAAAGGTGGCACAGAGCCAGATTTTGCCCATTTGTTCCTGGATCCCACTATATCATTACTCTGGTGAAACAATTGCGACAGCACTCCAGAAGCCCCACAACATGCCTCACGCATATCCACCGTTTAACTGGCTAGGATTGTACAGTTATATTACATCTCATTCCAGATGCTGTTTTGGAGCCAGCTGCCGCATTCTCCCTCCCACCCAGGACAGCCAGCTAAACCCATTGGAGGATGAGCAGGAGGATGCTGGAGAGGAGCTTCCTCCTGAGAGCCAGGGTCTTTGTGACGTAGAACCCTGACAATGGCCAGCTGGAAAGCCAGCCTCATCTTGCCCTTCAGCAATGGACCCTGATTCCTGCCCTGCATCGGCTGAGCCTGAGCCCCAGCCAGAAACCCAGGCTGCGGCCAAAGAGTCAGATCCCCTGGAGGGAATTTTGGCATGTAAGAACCTATGTTTACAATTTTTACTATTGTTGGTGGATGTGATCTAGGACCCACCCCTTTCCCCTTGTACTGCTTCAAAAGGGTACCCTCTAATATGGGGCAGTGACAGTCTGTACCCCCCCCCCCCAGCCTCCTACAGTGGATTCAAATAATGAAAGCATTCATTTGTGTAAAATACAACAGTTTGAGACTGTTGCTCACAGGAACAGAACTTTTGTAGTATCCATGAGGTATAAATGCACACTGCACACCTGGTCAAGGCATAAACCGTTCTGCTGCCCACTGAGATACAAATGCCCTGTAACATGCATGGTAGCTGACAACCATTGCAGGACCCTATTTGTGTTTCTCTGCACTTCCTTCATGTCTTCAGGGTAGTTATAGCAGAATTTAGGACTGAGAAATAGCTGGATTTTGTTTTGCACATCACAGGGAATAGCTGTACACCTGTGTACCCTGGTATAGTCTGAAAGCCCTTCTACTCCCACAGTGCCTCTGTGGGGACCATCCTGGTGAATAATTCCACAGCATCTCACTGGTCTGCCCTTTGCCTTTTTGAATAAGGCCATTCTCTGCCTCCTACTCATCCGCCTCAGCATAACATCATCGAGAGTGAGAACAGCTTAAAGGGAATGTCAAAAAGATTTACACTCCAACACCATAGTAACGGGTCCAGCACACAAACAAAACTGCAAAAACAAACCTGGAACATAGCCTAACTACTGTATCTGCTTTCATGCTGTTAGCACTGGGGTAGACTGAAATCCAAATGCACTCAGCATCTTCTGCATTTGCAGGCCACCTATCTCTAAGGTTTCCCCAAGAATGGGAAGAGTCTCAGGGAGGTAAGGTCACATATTGATACTAAAAAAAGCCATCATGACTTGTCTGGGATATGAACAATAAACAACTGTCCCCCACCCTTGCCCCCAGCCACAGCCCCTGCAACAGCCAGAACATCAAGGACAGGGCCTCTAATGCACTGCTGACAGGCTGGATGACCTGAGGGGAAGAAAAAGAGACTCGGGATGAGATGTTTGCAGAACTCATGGCAGAGTCAGAGGAAAACTAACTGGCTATGAAGTGGAGGACCCAGAGGGAGAAAGAAGTGCACCTCTCCCAGAAGACTATGGCAATGGGTTTTGTTAAAACTGAAAGTGTTTGCTGTAAAAGGTCAGTTTTCACAAATTTCTTGGTTCATAAATTGTGGAAAATTTTTTGAAATTGTTGAAGGGTTCCATTTTGACATTTTCTAAACAAATAGGGGATTTTATTTCAGTTTGAAGTGACTTTTTGTTTCAAAATGTAAGCTAATTATGGTAAAATAATGTTTTAAAGGTTGAAATAAAAATGAAATGCTTTGATTGCCCCATACCAAAATTTATTTGGGTTATCTGTTCACAAAACTGTTTGTGATTTTGACTTTTTGTCCCAATTCACTATACAGAAAAATTTTGAAATCTTGGAACTTTTCCAGGGATATGAGAAGAATTTTCAGGCCACCTCTAAGAACAAGCTGAATTACTTTAAACAGATAGGCACTTAATCTTGTCATTATTAAAAGATGAATATTTTTATTTGGTTTTGTCTGTGTACTGTCCCTTACCATTTGTGCCTAGTTGAAATTTTTTTTTTAAAGGTGGGTCTACTGCTCACAAATATAGGTGCCCTTAGGGTCAGAGACCTGTCATATACTGTACCTGACTCATTTCAGTAGGTTCCTAGTATAGCACTTATTTAAATTTTATTACTTAATTATCAAAATAATACAGCACAAGTAACTCATGGGTTGCTGCACAGTCTCCTGTGGCCTCCTTCTTTCTGCTTCAACTAAAATTGCTTCTGGAGTTTGTCTCTCTGAATGTTTGCAAGACTGGCATTAACAGTGCTTTAGAAACTTTTTGGAGCGCTCTTCCTTACTTTACATGCTAACAGCCCTAACTAATTGGAATGCTTATACAACGGGGTTCATTTAGCCTGTACTTAGAAATTCCTGACACTAAGCTGCGGTTCCTTGAAAATAAAGCAAGCTTTGGATTCTTTTACCACCTGCCAGTGTAAGGATTTATTTGAATAACTAAGCTGTCCAGGTTTTTAGTAGGATTTATATTGCCCCAAATCTTACAGGATGCATGAGGAATAACTTACTGATCCACCAAAACCTTTGGATACCTTAACATAACTCAAGGTTTGTTTAGCATTTCTAACTTCATGCTTGAATCTTAATATATTGAGTAATACAGTGAGTAGTTTTGTGTATAATGTGTAGGTGAGAGTTCATCTTTTGCTTCATTTTGAAAGAATGATGCATGTTTAAAAAAATGTGCATGTTACTGTTAAAGTGGAAAATGTTTCAAAACCGTTTTAACTCTGATAGCAGCTGCTAGTACACTCCTAGAAGCACGTAACTTCACTTAACAAAATGGATGTGAAAAATCAGTCAGGGAAAATAGGAACAAATTTGAATCCACACTTGATATTGGAACACATTTATTGTTTCAACAAATTTGTTTTAAAATATGTATATTGCATTTTCTCATCCCTTTTAATTCTTTATTCTGTCTGGGGATGGAGTCAGAAATTGTTCCCATGGTATTTCCAGACTGATCAGAAGAATAAGGCTGGAAATGTTACAGCAAAAAGGGTTCTCATGAGATTGAGCCCAAATTTGCAGACCTCTGATAAGTACCTACATTTCTGGGTGCTTGTTTGAACATAACCATACTGCCAAACCTCTTGAGATTCACCTGTCATGGGTTACCATTAAGCTTTTCATTTCCTTCATTCATATAGCTACAATTTCCCATCTTATAGAATGTCAGCGGTGTAGCTAACGTAGTGCTTTAATGTTGAAAAATCCTAATATCTGCATTCTTTTTGTATGCTGTAAAGTGGGACTAAGTTGTCCAATAGAAATTTGAACTCTGAACAAAGTCACCTTAAAAATTTGTCTCCCTTTTACTACCTTGATGAGTCAGCTTCTGGCCTTCCAATGGGAATACAAGAGGAAGTCTTTAACAAGGCACATTTAACAGCAGAGAGAGAGCACAGAACCACTAAGGGGTACTGTTAGCTCAAGAAAACTAGGATGTTTGCATTTGAGAGGAACAGCAGATGATATTGAGTGCTTGGTGGACAAAATGAGAAGAAAGCATGTTTCTGAAGGGTGAATAGATAGGACGGCAGAAAATGAGATCATGGAAGCAGCCGAATTGATTAAGATATACATATGAATATTTATTTATGTGTAAAATAAACTGAATTTCCAAAAAATAATCACAGAAATTCTAACTATAATGCTCTATCTCAGGGGTTCTCAAGCTTTAGTACACCATGACCCCATTCTGGTAACAAAAATTCCTACACAACCCCAGGAGGGGGCGGGGGCAACTTCTATCTTCAGCCGCTTGCAGTGGCGGCAATTCGGCGCACTGCTTGGGGTGGCAAAACCAGTAGAGCTGGCCCTGATCCTATCCCTGGTTAATTTGAAACACTAGGTCTGTGCTACTCCCCATATTACTCCTGGAGGGATAATGTGCTTCAGTGACAAATGTTAACTGAATGTGCTGCATTATCTTTTCTTGGCATAGCAAATCAAGGGAGAAAAAATCCTTTATTTCCAGCTTCAGAAAGCAGCCTTAGGGGATCACTGTGGCACTACTTTGACTACAACTAAATGATTGTGGCAGCTTTTTCCTTATTCCACCAGTAGACGGGAGTGATGGCACACTCACTCCATTAGCAGAATCAAACATAAAACGTTTTTATGAATTCTATTCCAGCTGAAATGTCTTTATCATCTATGCAACACAGGCAAAGCTTTTGGGGTTTTCAACCCTTTCTGGAAAATGAATAATGCACCAACTGAACAATTATGGCTGGTTCTAGGCTGAGATGCTACAAGATAATGTGACAGAGGCCCAATGACCTATTCAAATAAGATTCTTGTTGAGCTGAGCATTGGTATAGGAAAAACACAAAGACTGAGGGCACTGTTCTGCTGCCTCTGGTGTCCATGGAAGTGTTTCCAATGAAGAGCAGTAGGGATGGGTCTTTCATTTTGTTTCATGATTTTTTTTTCTATTTAAAAAGAAGATTCTAAAGGGTTTTTAAAAGAGACGATCATGATATTATACAATTATGATCCCACTCAGAGAACTGGTAGGCAAGGCCCTATCGGGAGAAAATCTAAGGGAAAGGGGAGTTCAGGAGAGCTGGCAGTTTCTCAAACAGACAATATTAAAGGTGCAACAGCAAAGTATCCTGATGTAAAGGAAAGATAGGAAGAATAGTAAGAGGTCAATATGGCTCCATCAGGAGCTCTTCAATGACCTGTTAATTAGAAAGAAATCCTACAGAAAGTGGAAACATAGACAAATTGCTCTGGATGAATACCAAAGAATACTGCCAGCAGGTAGGGACAAAATCAGAAAGGCTAAGGAACAAAATGAGTCCCATCTCACAAGAGACATAAAAGGCAATTAGAAAAATGTTCTGTAAATACATTAGGATCAAGAGAAAGACAAAGGAAAGTGTAGATCCGCTACTTGTTGGGGAAAGAGAACTAATAATGGGTAATATCAAGAAGGCTGAGGTATTTAATGCCTATTTAGTTTGTCTTCACTAAAAAGGTTAAAGGTCAACAGATACTCAGCATAATTAATGCTAACAATAAGGGGGGAGGAATGCTAGTTAAAATAGGGAAAGAAGTTAAAAAATATTTAGATAAGTTAGATATATTCAAGTTGGCAGGGCCTGATGAAGTTCATTCTAGTGTACTTAAGAAACTAGTGGAAGCAATCTCAGAATCATTAGTGATTATCTTTGGGAACTCCTGGAGGACTGGTGAGGTCCCAAAAGACTGGAGAAAGGCAAACATAATACTTTAACTTTAAAAAGGACACAGGGAATTATAGACCAGTCAGCCTAATTTCGATACCTGGAATGATACTGGAACAAATGATTAATCAGTTTGTAAGTATGTAAAGGATAATAAGGCTGTAAGTAATAAACAAGAATTAATCATGCCAAATCATGACTTTTAATGATTATTTGACAAAGTTACTGGCCTAGTGGATAGGGGGAAGCTGTAGACATGATATATCTTGATTTTAGTTTCTCACAAGCAAACTATGGAAGTGTGGTCTAGATGAAATGTCTATCAAGCGGGTGCAAAACAGGTTGAAAGACCACGCTCAAAGAATAGTTATCAATAGTTTGCTGTCAAACTAGGGGAAAGTATCTAGTGGGGTCCAGCAGGGGTCTGCCTGGGTCCAGTACTAGTCTATATTTTCATGAATGACTTGGATAATAGAATAGAGGGTATGCTTATAGAATCTGCAGATGACATCAAGCTGGGAGGCATTGCTGGCACTTTTGAAGACAGGGTTGAATTCAATATGACCTTGACAAATTGGAGAATTGGTCTGAAATCAACAAGATGAAATTCCGTAAAGACAAGTGCAAAGTACTACACTTGAAGGAAAAATCAAATGCACAACTACAAAATGGGGAATAATTGGCTAGGCAATAGTACAATTGAAAAGTATCTGGAGATTATAGTGGATCACAACTTGAATATGAGCCGACAATGTGGTACAATTGTAAAAAAGATTAATATCATTCTGGGATGTATTAACTGGAGTGTCCTATGTAAGTATGAGATATAATTGTCCCTCTTTACTTGGGTGAGGGCTCAGCTGGAGTTCTATATCCAGTTCTGGGTGCCACACTTTAAGAAAGACATGGACAAATTGGAGAGATAATAATAAAACAAATAATAAAATGTTTACAAAACCTGACCTATGTGGAAAGGTTAAAAAAAACTGGGCATGCTCAGTCTTGAGAAAACAAGAATGAGGGAGGGGACCTGATAAACAGTCTTCAAATATGCTAAGGGCTGTTGTAAGGAGAACTGTGGTCAATTGTTCTCCATATCCACTGAAGCTATGACAAGAAGTAATGGGCTTAATCTGCAGCAAGGAAGATGTCAGTTAGATATTAGGGCAAATTTTCCAACTATAATGATAGTTAAGCTCTGGAACAGGCTTCCAAGGGAGGCTGTGGAATAATCCCCATCATTGGAGATTATTTTTAAGAACAGGTTTGACAAACACCTGTCAGGGATGGTCTAGATATATTTAGTCCTGCTTTAGCACAGAGGGCTGGACTAG